TGTGCTTTTCTTCTTTCTTTCTTTCTTGTTCTCCATGCCCTCTCTACGATGATCTTGGACGATACCTCGAGCTCCTTGTTATTTTTGTTTTTTCCTTTGCTGGCTGCCTGCCACCTCTGCTGCCTCTTTCGTGCGGTGCCTACCCTACACTAATGCGCTGGTGCATACTGCACTGCTGAAGTACCTGGTACTGGTGTACGTTATCCTTCGATTTTTTTTTTTTTTTGTGGGAATATATATGTGTTGGTTTGTCGCCCCCCGTCTTGCTGCACCCCCTGGGGTGTGGTGCAGGGCGGGGGATGCCTGGTCGGCGGGAACCCGGCACGGAACCCTCCGGCGTTGTAGGCGGGTGTGGGAAGCGTTCCCCGTTCTCCTTTTATTTTATTTTGATCGGTCTCCTCGACGCTATTTTTCGTTTGGTGCGGTAGCTGGTCTTTCTTTCTATCATTTTGTTTCTCTTCCGAGTGGTTTTTGTTCCCTACTTTTTTCTGTTTCTTCGTGGGGTCGTGTATGCCGGGTTTTGAGACCACGGGCTCCCCATCTTTCTTTTTTAGAGCTAATGTGAGAAACAACAACAACAACAACAACAACTCGGCATATAGATAGCTCCGCTGTAGACTAGTCTACAGCAATCGAAATACTTCGGAGAAGTATTATATTATTGAGGGTGGGAATCTGAGCCTCGATACCTTGCAAGAGGGTATTTCGTGTGGGCGAGCCGACACTAGCTGCTGTTGACAAGTTAGCTTCGTGAGACCAAGCTCGTGCATCAACATCTATGTCAACCAACGGCAGTACAGGCGTGCAGACTGCCGTCATTGTTTTCGCGTGACCAGCTTTGACCAAAGTCTACAAACCATGACAACAGCAGTGGCATCCTTCAGGGCATCCTTCAGCTGTAGTAGATCGATTGTACTGCCGTCGTAGAAAGGGACCGACCGATCACGCATGAATGGGGACTGCTGTACATTACACCAATTACGCATGAACGTGGACTGTACATTACACTACTCAAAGCTGGTGTGCGTTGAACGAAGGTAGGCTTTTCACCCCTCCCCGTTGCACCCCAGCTCGAGCGAACCTCTTCCGCAGAGGCGCTTGGAGTATGCGCGCAACGGCCGGTCTGGTGGTGCCTCGTCTTGGCTATAGATCTGCAGGTCTCCAGCCTCCATTCCATTTCTCAAAGCGGGACTGATTGGCGGGAGTTGAGTGTGGCGTTTGTGCCTACACAGTCCCGTCGCCGTCGCTCGGTAGACAGCAGTAGACAGCTTGCGGAAGTCGCGAGAGGACGGAGAGGCACACTCACGCACCTCCTTCTGGAGCGAGGAAGACGAGAGACAAGAGCCAGGGGGGCATAATGCAGCAGCAGGCCGGTGGCGCCCGGCGCATATCCAAAGGTGTGCGGGAACGATGATGGCCTTGAAGTGTTGTAGCAGCGAATCGCTCGTGGTTCGTGGGCTGACCGCATCTTGTCTGACGTTTTTCGAGACAACGAACTCGGGCGGATACTTGCACCAATCCTTGTAGATCTTTGATCCTGTTCGTAACACACGTGGCGGCTGGGTGCCCAAGCACGGCTCCACCGGCAGAAGGTTCGCTGGCCAGCCTGGAGATTTCGCGGAGATACTTTACGTACCAAAGCACGTTCGGCTTTCGGGCACGCGGCAGCTTGCGACGTGTGTACTTGTAGCTGCATGGTGGATGTTCGTCTACCGCGTGCTGTTTGATTCACAAGTGGAATATTTACTGTCCAGCACCA